TTGGTTGATTGCGTAGTGTATTGCCATTCGCAATGAAAAAACGATGTACTTAAGAGGTGTCAAACTGTAGGCGAGCTTGAATAATGTTAAATTTGTTAAAACCTTCTAAATAGTTTAATAAAGGCATTGTGGATATGATTGTCCCAATCTTTTCAATTCATCTTCATGATCCTATTGAGTATATTTTTGAGGGTCTTGTTTGTAGGCTTGACCATTTCCTTGAGGATAGTATGGTGTTAAAGCCTTATATTTGATTGTGAATTCTTGAGTCAAAATGTTGATAGTCTTGTTAATGAAGTGTGTTTCTCGATTTATAACAAGTTCTTGAGGTAAACTGTTCGTTGTGATGATATTTTCATAGATGAACTTTACTGTGTTTTTCTTTGTTACAACCTTTATTAATTGAGCTTCAACCCACTTTATCATGTAATTAGTAGTTATGAAAATGTATTTGTTTCACTTGGAACTTGTTGTAAATGATTCTACAAAATTATTGAAGTGGTTTGAGAGAAGTTGTTGGATGAAGTCCTTGATTTTGCATTTTTGGCACATGCTTGGTTCTTTAATAAATATCATATTCTTAACAAAATTTTGCTGAATTATTCTAGAGTGTTGGCCACTAAAGTTTAGCTTGTAAAATCTTTTGAGTTGTGATTTCTTTTGCAAAGTGTTTTTTTGCTTATTTATAATGAGCTTCTTCAAGTAAATCTTGACTTTCTTCATGCTATACATATCTTCATAATATATTATCTCATCTTTTCTTGTACGGTCTTCCTCCCATGATTGAATATAGTTTTATCCTTAAAAAAAATTGCTTGTGCTGGTCAGAAGTAGTGTATTAATTTGGTATTTTCATTGTTATTAGGTAGTGGTAGATGTCATGTATCTAGGTTGATGAAGTATGGATTTGCAAGATGTTGAAGTCGGGGAAGTTATCCATTTTATACTTTGGTTGTTCACTTATCGTAATATGGCTAAGATGGTCAGCTTGTTTGTGTTATTTGCTAGGTTTATAGATAATCTTGAAATTATATTTTTGAAGGAGTAAGAACTATTGGGCAATTTTGTTGTTAAGGAAGGTTTTATTAAGAAAGTATAAAAGTGTTTTATGGTCGATCATGATTTTTACTTTGTTGCTGAAAAGGTAATGTCAAAACTTCTGAAGTGCGCAGACCATCCCAAGAGCTTCTTTTTCTGTGGTGGACAAAACTCACTCACTGGTTAAGAGTTGTTCTTCCTTTCGTTTGTCTTTCAGGCCATAACCAAGTGAGCAAAGATTGGAGACGGGAAGAGATGCACTAGAAAAGGCTTTGCACGAATCCTTTCACAAGCAATGTAACTATGCTTTCTTCCATTTACATCTCACATAGGGTAGTAACTCATCTTGCCATCCAAGTGTTACTTCTAGTCTTGCAACTTTTTTTGGTTCCCACCAAGCCTCGAAGAAAACAAAAAACTGTTTTTCTGAATCAGCAATGTTTAAATTCTACAAACACTCAGTATATGATCTTTCTTCCTAGCTTGCATTTACACCATCAATCGGTATAGAAAGTTGTGTATGACCAGAGAAAGCTCCAGAACCACCAGCAACCTCTGTTTTGTAAGATATCTCCACTCACTTCTAGGTCTAGTTTGGTTTTGGTTAGTTTCAAGCGTTAGATATATTATAGTAAAGAGCACTGGAACAAAACAGAGAAAAGGAAAAAGAGTGCTCCCTGCACACACCAATCGTGCTAGATCCGTTCCACTTCCGCCACGCTCATGCCTCCTTGGAGTTCCCAGTGCTGAGGACTTCCACGCACGGCTGCCCCTCATCTAGATATCGAGCTTGAGGAGGTGAAGATGCCACGAACACCGTATGTTCGAAGCTCGACGACACAACTCCTGGAGGACGCCAAAAGATGTTTCCAAATCTCAAGGACTGCCTTGAACAGAGAGCCCAATCACTCCAGCCCTGACCAACGCATTTCCAGGTAAGGCCCCTTCAACGCTGGCAAGTCCCTCCGGAGTGACCGCGCTGAAGCTCTCCTCCGGCAGTGGCTACTTCACCAGCCCAGCTTTCGTAACCGAAACATTGATATCTCTCAGGACATGTTCCGGTCAGAAACGCGAGCTTATTGATGCCATACGAGTGCCGTGCCGGGAACTGGAGAGGCACAGCAAGACCGGCCCAAAGCTAGACTTGTCCAGAGAGAACGCACAAACAATGGCCTTCATCAAGCCCCCACACAAAGATTTTGCCATCGTTTATCATCCTCACTGTATCTATGTGATCAACATGAAGTTCTAGAAGAACTACGCAATGGATCCAGAGAGCCACTTCGTACGTGAAGTTCAACTCAGGCAGTCAAAAGCTCCAATTTTAAATGTTAATCGGACGACCAGGAATGGAGCCCTACCATCAACGGCCACTATTTGAAATAAAAAATGCTGCCTAAGGAGCTTCTCCATTTACGATCTAGACGAGAACAACGTTTTTTCGCCAAGCAGCACTCTCTTCCAGATGAAACGCGTACGGCACGTAGCCCCCCGGTGTCGTACGAAGCCGGTCAGTGGTAGACGTGCTCGGCTAGCCGAGGCGTTGGGACGAGCTTGAGCGGCTTGTCCAAAATCACACTGTTATACGCCGGGCTCACGTCGATCTCTCGTCCCTCCGGGGTCGCCCACTCGAATCCGTGCACCAGAGTGGACACTCCATACATGATCATGCATGTCCCCAGAGCAGCCCCGGGGCAGCCTCTCCTTCCAGCTCCAAACGGCACCATCCGGTACTCTGGATCAAACAGCGACGAGGACGCCGCCGCCTCGACCTCTCGATCGCTTCTCGTGGTAGATTCCTCGTCGCCCAAGAACCTCTCTGGCCGGAACTCGAGCGGGTTGTCCCACACCGCGGGGTTTCTTCCCAGAGAGTACGTGTTGATGAGCGCACGGGTGTTCTTGGGGATGAAGTAGCCGGCCAGCTCCGTGTCCTGGACCGTAACGTGGGGTATGAGGAAGGCGCCGACGGGGTGTAGGCGGAGGACCTCCTTGACCACCGCACGGAGGTACGTGAGGTGCTTGAGGTCCGACTCGCGTACCGCGCGGTGCCGGCCCCCGACCACGCGCTCGATCTCGTCCCGGACCTTGGAGAGTACCGCTGGGTGGCGGACCAGCTCGGCCATTGTCCACTCGCTCGTGATGGAGGTGGTGTCGGTGCCTGCCGCTGCCATGTCCTGCAAAGCAAAGTCACGGGACGATCAGGCACAACTGGAGGGACTGGGAAAAGTGAAGGAGACAAAGGCAAAAAGGTGTGAGAACAAGGAAGACGCAAAGAACAAGCAAAAAGATGTGAGAACAAATACTAAAGGGAAGGAAGATACTCAAGCAAAGAACAAGAAACAACTGGAAACCCAACACGACAAAGGCAAAAAAATGTCCAAAAGGACGACAATAAAGCAAAGAAAGAAAGAAGAATGACTTACCACAAGAATCGCCTTGATCACCGTGTGGCTCAATCCTTTCTGCGCCAGCAGCACGTCGACGAACTTGTTGGTGGTGGAATCACCGTCTTTCTCCGCGCTCGTTCTTTTGCGGCGGTGTTCTTCGATCACGGCATCGTACAGTCTATCCGTTCTGTTCATTATGTCCTTGATCTTTTTCTCGTAGCCTTGCACGTCCAGCCACCTCAGGAAAGGCAAGTAGTCGGCCAGGTTGAACGCGTTGACGAGCGCGAAGGCATCGTAGATAAGAGATCGGTGTTCGCTTCCATCTCGAGGCCCGGTGACTCCAGGCCCGAAAAATCGTTTGCCCAGAAGCATCCGAGCGAGATTGTTGCTCGCGAGTGAACCAAACAGGTGGCGTAGCTCGACTATGTTGTTTTCGGTGATCGAATCCGTCCTGATACTCAAAACTTTAGATAGGAACTCCACAAGAAAACTTACAAAGTTTTACAAACCTGTTGATCGCCTTGGTTGTATCCGCGTGACTGGTGTCGCTGCTGACAAATTTTTTATAAAAAAACAATTATGTTTTTCATCAGAGAAAAGAAAAGCTACGAACCTTTTTCTTATGCTCGTCGTCCACACCGCTCGAGCCATGAGAGCAATCTCTTCCTCTCGTCCCTGCTTGAACAATTCGAGCCTTCTGGGAGCCAGGAGCTCCAGGGTGCAAATCCGGCGCATGGCTCGCCAATGTGCTCCGTAAGGAGCGAACGCGATGTCGTTGCCACCGTAGGTGAAGTGTTGCGACGCGATGCTGGCTGGCCGGGACGCAAAAACCGCATCCTGGTTCTTGAGAATGGCCTTGACGATAGCTGGATCATCGGTCACGACCGCTGGAACTCGTCCCAACTTGAGAAACACGAGCGGACCGTAGCGTTTGTTCATGGCCAGCATTCTCTCGTGAGGAATCGGACTCGTCTGCAACAGGTTCCCGACGATGGGCCACGGCATTGGCCCTGGAGGCAGCGTCAGCCCAGCCAAATTCGAATTCTTATTCGAGCACGAATCATCCTTGCTGCTGCTGCTGCTCACGAATCTTAATCTGTTGTGCTTGAGCGCCGAGAAGTATGCCAGAAGCAGAAGGCCGAGCAGCACCAGGTATTGCAAATGTCCGAAGGCTGGAAGATATAGCACCACGTCTGTACGAAGGACAGGATCTTGGAAGAAGCCCATAGCCAAGTCCATTCTCCTGACTTCCTTTCTCGTCCAAGTCCCCTGACGTACGTCCTCTCCGATTGAAACCTTTTCTTTTGGCTTGCAGTCCTTGAAAACGTCCTCCCTCACGTCACTGTTGCTGGTAGCAAAACTGGCATCTGTCCAAAACCTCGAAGTTTTCCAGAATTGCCACCGATTCTGAAGAGCGACCACTCCACCAATTTATAAAATCCGCTGGATTTTTCCTGCTTTTCACTGCTGACTTTAGCGACGTAAAAGCAGCAACGACCAGGCCGAAGGCGAGTGAACGAGTAGCTCTAAAGAGATTGACCAGGCGAACAACCCGAGTGACGCCGACTAAATGAGAGTTTTCAACCAGCTCACATCGTCAGTAGATAAGATGCGATGCAGGGTAGCTCGAACAAGCCGCAGCACCGCCATTTCAAGTCCGAGCGCCCGCCATCTCTTTTCCTCTTTTTCTCAGTCTTCCCAAGCCGCTGAATTGTTACTCCTTCCTACTTTCGAGAGTTGCAATGTCTTCCTCTGACAAACATACCAACTTGGCCTGTCATTGCACGCCTGCCCTGGCTACCGTCGGATGCTCATTTTAGCCCATGAATGACAATAACCAAATGGAATCACGCAGCCGATAGCCTTGTACCCCCTCTTCTTCTTAACTTTGCATGCCCTGGAGCCTCTCACGTAAAGCGGGTGCTGCGAGCCTCTTTTTAACTTATATAGCACCGCCGCTCAAAGATGACTGGTGTACTGGCTGATTCAACGTTGTTCTCGGCACCACAGGCAACATTCTCGCTTGATCTCAAGACGCGTTTCCGGAAACTCTAATCCATCCTGCTGCTACGTCTGTGCTGAAAGAATGCCGCGACGCACAAATCCTGTGTTGCTTGTATAGAAAACGAGCCACTTGTTTTTGCTGCCGACCACCTCGGACCCTCTCTTTCACTTGAGTAGAATTGATGCCACTTGATTCTCTAACCCGGTACCATCCTGGACAGTTGGTTCTTTCTCCTCCACACAAACACCGCGAGGGTCCTCCTCGACTGTCAGTGTAAGGACAGACCTCTCGCTCCATCTCTGCTCTACCTTACGTCTGGAATTTTTGCCGATGGTGATTGCAAAAACCGCATCCCAACCCCCAGCTCCAGGGACTCCAGCAAAGAGTACTCCCGGAAGTTCCATTGTCTCGTCTAGCAACTCACTTTGTGGGCCTGGTTCAAGCTGTTTGAAAACAAAAATGAAAGCTCTGTCTGAAAGAAAAGGATTGACATACCGGTACTTTAGCCTCTTCTCCCATCTGTCTTAAAAGAGACCTTACAATGCTGAAATCTTGACGGAGTTTCAGAAGAGCTGACACAACGTCCTTGTCCGAATCTTTGAGCCCATTCCACTGCATAAAAAGAAAAGGCAGTAAGTAGAAAGTTGTAGAAATAAGGTGGTTCACCTTGGCTTCTCCGCAACTGCTGCAAGCTTCAAGTACAAGTGTATAAGCTTCCGAATCCGTTTCGTGTAATTCTTTTAAACGCAAAAGGTCCGCCTCCACGTTTTCGTTTGCTTTTGCTAGGGTCCTCCAACAGGCCTCCGCATTCGGGTGCTTCTCGCGCCAAGCGTTGACAGCCCCTACCATTGACGGTGTGTGTGATCCACCACGTCCAGACTCGCCCAGTACCTGAAAAATTGAACAGCACTAGAATTTATCTCATTGTGCTCGAAGGACAAACCAGAAAAAGCATTGGAGGTAGAGCAAAGTTAGATCTTTGCGAATTCCAGTTTTTCATGTCCAGTACTGACTTCATTGCCTTCTCCAGCGACTTTGGTTTTCCATTGTCCTGGAAAGCGAAACAAGAGTTGAACTCAAACTCTATAACTCTTAAAATCAAAAAGCTTACGTCAACGGGATCCATTGCTGGACTTAGCACTCCCGGTGAGAAGCGCACGTATTTCTGGCTTCCATAGACCGCTGCGCTGACATCAAAACCACTGCCAATTTTCCCTTGTGCATGGCAGTGTGCTGCTTGAGAAGCCGCGTGTACTACGTCGAGATACTCAACAGACCCGGAACCGAGCTGAATAACACCCAAGTACTCCAAAATCCCCGCAACAATGGCTGTAGTCATGGCCGCTGAAGAGCCAAGGCCACTCTTAGCCACCTCAGGCGACGTTCCACCAGATGTTTCAATGTTGCGTGTGATAGCATGGAACTGTGGTAGCGATGCCAGGGATGCTGCCGTCAAAGGAAGCTTTCTTGCCTCTAGCTGCATTCGAGAAAGAGAACAGAAAATAAAAAACTAAACTAAACTTTCATCAGAAAAAGAAATACCTCATTTCTGAACGAGTAGAAATCGTTGCTGCCTTTGATTTCTATGTCTAGTCCTGGCATACAACTTACAATAGAGATTTTTTCTGAAAATCATGAAAATTCATACCTTGGAGAAGACGTTCGTAAACAGCATCACGATTATTCGCTGCAGCCAGTGCCGCAGCAACTCCATACTCGATCGCATTTTCCACAAAGTTCTTCCTGGAACAGCAAAAATCCGAGTACTACTCGAGAACAAATCAAAGAAAATAGAAACGTGTACTTCGTAGAAGGCATGTCTAGCTTGCAAGTCCGAAGTAGGAGCTTGTATGATCTCTCGGAATCCATCTGTGGAGAAGAAACCCTCACATCGATGAACGACTGCGAGCTCACAACGATCAGATCACCGTCCCAACAGCAAGATTTCGAGAAATCTTACCCAGAATTTGCTGGCGCCATCGCTGATCGAGTGCAGCGGCTTCACAGTGGCATAGAATCTAGCCGATGTGGAGAGAACAAGCCCCGGATTCGGCCGCTCCAGCACCAAATATCCGCCGGCGATCAAAACCTTGCCTGGAGCCGAGACTCTGGAATGGAAATGTGAATGAGATCGAGGCGAAGTCACAAGGCGCTTACATTGTCATGACGCGAGAAAAGAAAGAAACCTCTGTTCTAGGGTTCTATAGATTCGTTGTCTACTTATCATAATAACAAAGTAATTAAGCAGCCACTTGTTATTAAGGCTTTCATAGCATAGTGGTAGTGCGCTCGCTTCGTAAGCGAGAGGTCGTGAGTTCGATCCTCACTGGAAGCAAAACTGTTCTAAATATTTCTAGGGCTCATATTTAGTGGACTTTCTCAATGTTTCTTCAGTGGAAGAGACTGTGGAAGGCGCTAGTGCGGAAGCTCAGGCGAAAGCTAGGGATAGATCGCGCTCGAGTGGCGGCAGCTTCTCTTGTGGCGGCAATGGATCTGAAGCAGCCGGCATTGCCGATCTCTTTCCCGCTCACTTCTTTGGATCAGCTCAGGGATGATTCCGTGTTCCAGAGCTTCCATTTCCCATTCCAGCAATGCTCGGTGCCGCTGGCGCTGCAGGGAGGGAAGAAGGAGAGGAAATCCAAGCTGTTGGTGTGCCACGACATGAAAGGAGGCTACCAGGATGATAGATTCGTGCAAGGCGATGGCAATTACAATGCTTACTCGCTCTGGCACTGGCAATGCATTGATGTTTTCGTGTATTTCTCGCACTCCTTGATCACTATTCCTCCTCCCTGTTGGATCAACGCTGGTCACAGGCATGGAGTCCAGGTAAGAAACTTCACCATTCTTTGGCATCCATTTTTCTGACGAGATTATATCGCAGGTCTTGGGAACTTTCATCACGGAGTGGGATCAAGGGGCTCAAACTTGCAAGTTGCTTCTGGAATCCAAGGATTCGGCAAGAATGTATGCGTCTCGGCTAGCAAAAGTTGCTCGGGAGTTTGGATTTGATGGATGGCTGGTGAGCAAACAAACTTTTCTTCCCCTTTGTCTTATAGAAACGTTTTTGGTTGTTTCAGCTAAACATTGAAAACACTGTTCCGGTGGAGCAAATCGACACTCTCGTGGTGTTTGTATCGGAGCTCACCAAAGTCATGCACGACCTTGTTCCGGGCTCGCTGGTGATATGGTTAGATTGATAGTTTTCTTGCTTTCTTTGGTACTCACTTTCCATGAACAAGGTATGATGCAGTTACTGTGGATGGAGAACTACAATGGCAAGACATGCTAACAGAGAAGAACAAGCGCTTCTTTGATGCTTGCGATGGGATTTTCATTAACTACACATGGAAGGTGTATATCATACTTCTAAGCAAATCGTGAAATATCTCATTCTTATGCCTTGTTCCAGAGGGACTACGCAGCGAAATCGGCGAAAGTGGCTGGCGATCGAGCCTCCGACGTTTACATGGGAGTGGACGTTTTCGGGAGAAACACTTTCGGAGGAGGAGGATTTCAGGTAAGCAACAATGTTTGCATTGCGTTTCAAGAGACCAACTCTGGTAACTTTTGCTTGTCTAGAGCAACGTTGCCTTGAAAGTAGCGCTGGAGGCCGGTGTTTCGGCAGCATTGTTTGGTCCCGGGTGGGTCTACGAGAAAAATATTGGGCCAACTTTCGAAGACGCACAAATCAGGTACCTACGAGTTTAACTCGGTCTTTTCCTCTCTTTTTGTTTCTCATTCGGAACCTTCTTGTGGAAGGTTTTGGGCTTCTATACACAATGCCTGGCCCGTATCACACAGATATCCTGTCACGCTGCCTTTCTTCTCGGATTTCAGCCAGGTAAGTAGTAAAAATCATTGCGAGCAAAGTTTTCATGACGTTTGTTTTGCCAGGGTTTCGGGAAAGCCGTCTATGTAGATGGTGACCAGGTATCAGACTCTCCCTGGAGTAATATTTCATGCCAAGCTCTTCAAGTATGGTTTCCTCTTCTATTGTTTTTGCTTGTGACAATAACAATCTTGGTTTTGGTAGCCGCTTTTGCTTGGAGCGCTAGATCCAGAGTTTGAAGTTACTGTAAGGTAAAAGTTTCGCTGAGAAAACGAAGTTATCCCAAAGATTGTTCACATTCTTATTTTCAGATCAGTGGATCGAGTTTACAGCGGTGGATCGAGCCTCCGTTTCCTCGGAAAGCTCAAAGCTTCCGACGTTCGCATCACTAAGCTGTATGATCCACACCTGGTTCTCGCAAATCCTACTCTCTCCATTGACTTCTCGGTAGCGTTCTCAAGCCTCGCAAGCTCATCTTAACAGTGTTGCGCTGCAGGTCATGTCCAAGGAAAACGCAATCTTTTACCTCGTTCTTAAGTTGCAAGGCCCTGGAGGAATTCGCGTAGTGTTTCTCTCGAACGAGCACAGCGGCACCTCAGAGAAGAAGACGAATCAAAGCTCCTCCAGTTTCAGTGCCTTTGAGCCACACCGGACAGTGACGAAGAGCTCCGGTACCTCGGATGACGCCTGGAATGTGAGTGAGTACCAGATCGAGGTGGAACAAAGCTCCGTGGTAACCAATATCTACGGCATGAGCACCACCAGGAACGCTCCTCTGGACTTCGAAGAGATCACAGGCACTCTGGCGGCCGAAAGCTCCTCCGATACACAGACCTCTTTTCGGCTTACCTCGTCTTCACTGACGCGGAAGTTCTTGCCGGACGCTACTCAACCATACGAGCTTCACTTGGGCCACCTGAGGATCACAGCAGAACCGCCAGCGCCACCGACAGTTTCGAGCTTCCGAGCCGACGATCTCAAGTGGTCCACAAGCCCCGATGGCAATAAGCTCGTCAGCCTCACGCTCAAGTGGGAGTTTGGAGGTGGTTTCCAGGCCGATCGCTGCAACACATACGTCGAGATGGTGGGAAAAGAGACGACGAGCAAAGCCAAGTACCTTGGAGCTGCTTTCGTCGACGCCTTCTACGTGGATTCGCTTCTAGTTCCTCACGAGACTTCCAGCTTGGTTTTCCGCCTCCAGCCTCGCAACGCTGCTGGTTTTCACCAGGGCTGGAATGAAGCTCTCACGCTCACTGTCGAAGTCCTTTGAAAAAAAAAATAAAGTACTCTAGGCGAGTAGCGCCTGCTGGAGGATATCGTCTTCGACCGCCAGCCTCTCCAGCACCATTTTGGCTCGTCTCCTCGACACCTCCTTGATCTGCCAGTCGCCGAGCATGCCAACCAGCTCTCTCACGTTGCAACAATCCGGTCCCGCTACAACGACCCTTCCAAGCCTGCTCCTCGCAGCAATCTCTTGGAGCTTGTCCGCGGCCCAGACACTGTCCTCTTCCCGGCCCGCCATCGCCAGCATCCTCATCAAAAGCTCCACGCAGTCGAGCGAAGATCCGTCGCCACCGTCGCTACTCTGTTCCTTCTTCGTCTTCTCGAGAATCTCCAGAGCTTTCGCAAAGTGAGCCACGGCCTTGTCTGGATCGCTGGCCTCCACGCCTCTTCCCGACTGGTAGCACCTCCCGAGCTCTACGTGAGCGCTCGCGCATCCTTCTCGAGCGGCCTGCTTGTAGAGCCCAAGCGCTCGCTTCTCGTCTCTGGCTATCCCGAGGCCGCTCTCCAGGCACATTGCGAGCTTCCACCTCGCTGATCCTCCTCCCGCGCAAGACGAGGCCTTGTAGTACCAGAAGACCGCCTGCTCAAACTCGTGGCCGGGACCGATCCAGTTCGCCATCAAGTCCCCTGCGATCTCTGCGGCCGCGCCGAATCCATCTTCGTGTTCTAGTTGCTCCACGGAGCTCGCCAGCCAGAGCACGAAGCTGTCCATTGGAAACGGCCAGAAACCCGGTCCTTTCTCCTTCTCAAGCATCGATATGAAGAGTCCTTCGCCAGCTTCTCGTTGTCGCTGCTGTTTCTCGTTGTGCATGAGAATGACGTCGACGAGGAACTTCACTCCAAGGTGGCTGGCGAGCTGGCTAAAGTCGGACATCGTAAGAGGAAGGATATCTTGGTGCTGCCATGACTGCCTTCTCGCGATGATCGCCTTAAGGCTCCTCAGCGCCAGGCAAACCTGTGTGAAGGACAGCCTCTGCTCTGGTTCGTGGCTCCAGCATCTACGAGCAAGCACCGCCAGGAACGCCGGAGAATGCCCAAGGATGTCGGGCCTGCCTCTCTCGACGCTCACCAGTTGAAAGAGCTGCGACTCGGTCGTGAGTTGATCGTAATCGGAGAATGGCCTGCGGCTCGAAAGTATCTGGAAGCAGAGCATACCGAAGCTGTAGACGTCGGACTTCTTCGTGAACGTAGCCTCGCCGGAGGAACTGGCTTCCTGCTGCTCAAAGACTTCCGGAGCTTGCCAGAACGGTGGCACATCATGCCGCTGCTGCTGACTCTCGAAGGTTTCCTGGTCGTCGTCGTCAGAAGCTACGCTCTGCAACCACGAGGATCCTGCCAGCCTCGTCTTTGGCAATCCATAGTCGGTGATTTTCACTTGGATGAACTCGTCCAGCTCGTGTTTGCTGCTCGAAGATCTTCTCCGCCGCCTCGAGTCGGTCGTGCTGGGAACGAGTAACACGTTGAAAGCGTTGAGACACCGGTGGAGAACCCCTCTCCTGTGTAGAAAAGCCATTCCTTCCGCTACTTGGAGCATGATCTCGACGGCTACTGGGAGTGGAACAGGACCTTGGCCGAGATTTAAAACGCTGTCCAGATCTTTCCTCAGCAGCTCTGTCCATAACCGGCATTCTCCAAATTCCTCGTCGTCGTTTGTTATGCTCGCAAAGAGAAGCTGAGCCAGGCGAGGATGGCGGAGACTCGCGAGCACCGACACTTCGTTCCAGAAGGACTCTCGGCTGAGAAAAGCCGTTACTTTCAGCGCGGCAGGAAATCCAAGAAACTCGGACTTGTAAACGATGCCAAAGAAACCTGTACCGAGTAGCAAATTCTCCGTTCTTCTGCTGGTGATATTATCCAATGCCCAGGATTCTCTCTGGTGAATCCTCTCGATGTAGGACTCAAACCCGTCGTCTTCGGTATCCAGCTTGGCTATGAGATAGCTGGTAATCTCCGCCACCCGATTCTCCTTCCTGCTCTTCGAACTAAAAACAGCCAGGCCCCTGAAAAAGAAGCCGTCGTGCTTTTGCTTCATCTTCCGGAGCTTGTCTAGCAGATTTCTGCGGTCCAGCCGCATTGCCAGGATCAATCCACGGTCTGCTTCCGCATTGAGTGTTTCCTCTGCTATCTCGAAAGTTCTTTCTATCATCCAGTATGGGATGTGGTGCTGATAGCTGCCGGTACCTAGCCTCTTTTTCTGGTGCTTGAAGGAATCGTCTCTCCCTGCTCTGAACTGCGCGAGGACAACTTCCATCACTGACACACACCATTGCTGGTGCTGGTACTGCTGCGCAACGAAGATCCCATCGTCCGCCGCATAGACGATTGCTTTCATCAGCCACGAGTCCTCAGCGTCCTCCTGCCCGGACGACACCCAGTAGGACACTAGAACCTCAGCGTCGCGAGTGACTTTGGCTATTTCCACGGCCGCTGTTCTGCATTGCTCGCATGAAGTCGAGTCCAAGCTCGCCATCTCGTCAACCAAGTTCCTCAGATTGTCATGGAAGCTCTTCAAGAAAGGACAAGAGAGGAAAAGTTAGCCAGGAGGCAAAACAGTATCAACTCAACAGTACCTGCAGGTCGAGGAATCTGCACTGTGCGTGATTGAACCTCAAACTCGCGGTGCTCGCGCCAACGATCGAAGAGCTCCCAGCGGTGCTGCTGTTACACAGCCTGATGAGCCTTTCCAGTACCTGAATTGCTTGCTCCACGATTCTGATAGAGCTACTCTCGCTGGACGTGGCAGAATCATACAAGGAGGAGCCCGAATACGAAGAAGGCATGGCCTTGATCATCAGCTTCCGCCTTGCTATTTGCATCAGAACTTTGGCTGGCAGATCCATTCTCTCTCCGCAACTGAAAAGCTGGAGTGCAGAAAAAGCCACAGCTCACGCCTGAGCAGTCCGCAACAGCAACATTCCTCTTGGCTTTTCAGTGGTCCTGGCAGTGAGGCACCCGATTTTCCAAGCCCGTGTTGGAACGCTTTATACCTCCAGATTTGAATATTTGTGTTTGGTGAGCCGAGCGTCCTCGTCGCAGCCAGGTACGCTCATGCTTGCTTCAGATCCGGACTTGGCAGTAGCCTTGCGTGGAGTTCACATCGAGATGAATAGTGGAGTCCACCACCTCGACATTAACGCCGAGGCCTTCTGGGTGACAGGGACCTTATCTTGAGCCGAAAGAAGACCCTGTTCCCGTCCGCAAGAAGTTTCTAAACCCAACCGCGAGCTCACTTGGTAACGGACATCTCCCTCTCCGGATCATGGTCGATGGAGCTTTGTAGAATTAGCGACGTACACACTCGAGAGTGCAACGTACGCAGCAGCCGAGTTTCGCGAGTTGAGTTGCACCGCTTGTTTCGCGGCACGCTCCGCTCTCGAGACGTCGCCGTGCATCTTGCAAGCCCCCAGCAGAGACATCCATTTGAAGTCGTCCACCACCGACGCGGGCATTTTCTTGATGAACTCCTCGGCCTCGAGCAGCCACCCCGCCCGTCCCAGCAGGTCCGCAAGGCAGCCGTAGTGCTCCTTCTCGGGAACTATCCAGTGGTCCCTCATGAGGCCGAAGTAGTAGCAGCCTTGCTCGACACGGCCAGTATGGGTGCAACCGTCGAGCATTCCCATGAAAGTTCTACCGTCAGCTCCAATGCCTTCCAGCAGCATCATCTGAAAGAGCTCGAGAGTGCTGGCAGGGTCGCTGTGTACTGCGAAGGCTGCTATCAAAGTGTTCCAAGTCACGAGCATTGCCGACGAATCCCAAGCCACGGAAGAAGAGATTGCGAGGAAGATCTCCCAGGCCTGTTTCAGCTTCCCAGACTTCCCATACATGCTCAGCAACGCATTCGCCACCAAGGTGTCTGAGATAGCTCCCAAAACCACCACCCGCTTGTGAAGAGCTCGACCAACTTCCAGGAACGATGAGTCGGCAGCACAAGCGTTGAGAAGAGCCACAAGAGTGACTTTCCTCACGGGATTTCCTTCATGCTCCATCTTCCTGAAGAGCATCACGCTGGAAGCCGAGTCACCATTGTCTGCACAGGCACCGATCATCGCTGTCCAGCAAGCGGAGTCCCTGTTCTGGATTCCAGCAAAGACTTCTCGAGCGCCATCCAAGTTCCCACATTTTCCATACATGCTGACGATGGTGGTGGCGACTGCGGTGTCGTGGCTCAATCCCTTTTCGGTCGACTGGGAGTGGATCGACCTGCCGTGAACGAGAAACTGGGGAGATTGACAGGCCTGGAAGACACCCAGGAACGTAACTTTGCTCGGCCTGTGCTGTCCATCGAGGAGCATTCTCCAGTAAACTCCAAGTGCCTCTTTGTGATGCCCATTTTGGGCATATGCTGCGATCATAGTGTTCCAAGTGACAGTGTTCTTCTCGGGCATGACCAGGAAGACGCTTGAGGCGCTACTCAAGGAACCGACCCTTCCATACATCGCCACTAGCGCGGTGCCCACTACGACGTCGATTTCCTCCAGCTCGATCCCTGTTCTTGATCTTGAGTCGTCGTAGAGGGAGTGGATCCATATCCCAAGGCGGAGATCGTTGCAGTTGGACAGAGCAGCCAGGAATGTCACGGCATTCGGCGCTACTCCCTGGAGCTGCATCGATCGAAAGAGATGGATCGCTCCTTCGCTACTGCCGGGCGATATTTCCCTGGATTCCGAGCGCGCGGAGATGAGAGCGGTCCAGGCAACCACGCCGGGCGCCGCGATTGCATCGAACACAACGCGCGCGCTGCGAATATCACCGCATTTGCCATACATGTTAAGGATCGCCGTCGCGAGCTGTGAATCGCGGCAATACCCGGATTCCTGCGCACACCTGTGGATTACCCGGCCCTGCTCCAAATCCCGGGCTGCCGCGGCCGCATTCCCGAGCGCCACGAACATCCGGCGGTCGGGAGCGATCCCTTCGAGCTGCATCTGGCGGAAGAGCGCCATCGCCTCCCTCGATCGGCCACGATCCACAAGCATTCCAAGAATCCGCGTCCATGTCGCCGACGGAGGAGGAGAAGCGAGCGACGTAGAACAAGAAAAATCCCCGCTAGGGTTTTGCATGGGAGAGAGACGAGCGAATCTTAGAGAATATCCTCTGAAGAAACTGGCGTCACGTGTCGCTCTCAATGCCGTTGGATTGGATGAGGAATATTCCACCACAATTCCACGCGGATGGTCTTAATGCCGGCGACCCTGTGCCATACAGAGTGAAGAGAGAGAGAGAAGGGAGAGGAGAGGGCATTAGGGCTTTTGGGCACAGATTTCTAGAGAAGGCGAGGGCGGCAGCGCTGGAAGGGAGCTAGAGATCGGCCGCTTGCCGACGCTCTTGCGAGCAACAGAATGCCTGGCGATTCGGTTTGTGAAAATCTCTCCTCTCCTCTCCCAGATTTTAGGTCCATTTCGCTGGCGGCCACTTGAAGTGTGATTTGATTCGTGCGTGTGCTTGCGTTGCTGCTGTGTGCTGAATTTCTGTGGTTTCTAATTCCTTTCCTCTTCGACTTTTTTGGCGGCAGCCCGTTTGTATGGCGCTGGAAATGCCCGACGAGATGAGCAGCTGCAGCTGCTCCAATTCCGACCACGAGAATTTGCGGCCGAGCAGGGGTGTGCGATTGTTTGGAGTGGACCTTTTGAGCAGCGAGGGCATGAGGAAGAGCGTCAGCTTGAGCAACCTCTCTCACTATGCGACCGCCTCCTCCAACAACATTGGCATGCAAGAGCATCTGGATACCACCGATGGCTACGTCTCAGATGGCCTCGTCCAGACGAATTCCAATGCTCGCGCAAGAAGGAAAGGTGCGTGGTTGGAAGAAAACTTCGATCTTTCTTTGTTCTAGGCTGACTTCCTGGCCAATTTGTTTGTTTGTTTTTTTTTTTTTTTCCTACAGGAGTTCCATGGACAGAAGACGAGCACAGGTTGTTTTTACTAGGCTTACAGAAGCTAGGAAAGGGTGACTGGAGGGGCATTTCGAAGACCTTCGTCACGACTAGGACCCCGACGCAGGTTGCCTCGCATGCACAGAAGTATTTCATTAGACAGAGCAACTTAAGCAAGAGAAAGAGGCGCTCGAGCTTGTTTGATATCTCCCCTGGACAAGTAAGTTCTTTCAAATACGCTCTTTGGTTTCTTACTCTTACTTCCTTCTCTTCAGGATTTGAGCTTGCCAGACTCGGCGCTCGCTAAAAACGTGAGCTTGCAAACGTCCTTTCTGGAGCTGGGACTGGGACACGACCGCGTTGCGATCCCAGTGGCGCCGCCGCTGGAGAAGATAATGGAAGAGAAGGTGTTCTTCCCATCACAGGAGGGCGGTAACCCGAGCAACGGCGCTAACTTCGAGGAGGACAAGGATGATCCAGTGGCAACGAATGAAGAGCCAGTGCCAGGCACCGGCACTGGCGCTGTTGCTGCCACTCGAGGCATCGCCATCGATGCGCCAGCTCCAGCGCTTTGGCTAGATTTAAGGTCGCAGGCAAGTGCTATGTCCTCGGAGCAGCAGCAAAACGAGGCCCTCGGCCCGCTCAAGTCCAACGTTGTGAAGCCAGTGGCATCAATCTCGACGGGGCCAGTGAGAATTATGGAGGACAGAGAACTCGCAGCGACGGGAGGGCCATCGATCCTGTCGCTCAAGCTGGAGCAGCCCGTAAGGCACTCGGCGTTTCACGTGAGCTCGGCATTCGCGAGCGCTGGAGCAGCGGCGGCAGGACTGGAAGCTCCAATCCAGTGTACGTGATGGATGTGAGATCTCTCTCTCTCTCTCTCTCTCTCTCTCTCTCTCTCTCTCTCTCCCTCTCTTTCTCTCTCTCTTTCTCTTGAAGTAATCAAGGGAGAGATCATGAACTGACGAAGGACAGCTAGTAGACCTCTTTTTACTTTTTTCTTTTTTTTCTTCTTTAAGCAACAATAAGAGCCAACTTGAAAACTGTATTTATTCTAATTCAAATTTAAATAAATTTCTCTCAGGGAAATAGCATAAGATTCTAAACAATGGTCATAACCGCAATAATGCTAATAACTTAATGTTTAGCAAATGTCTTGGAACAAATCCACGTTCTCGTTTGATTGCTGCTTTCTCGACGTCCGGTAATGTTGGAACCCTAACTGGCTAAAGTTTTCCGAGGGTATTAGAAACAGCAGAACATCCAGAACTTTCTTCCCAAACTCCTCCTCCCGCGCTCTAAGAGCCTTGGCCAAATACTCAAGCGAAGGAGGGTCGTGTGTAATCTTCCCCAGCGTCTGTGGTGCTAACACAAAGTCAAAATCTGCATTGTTTTTGCGCAGAGGCCTCCACAGATACCGATCAGCGTTCCCACCCTGTCAAGTAAACAAAGAAATCGGTTTATGAATGTACACATTTAAGTTCTTCTAAAGCTAACCAGTTGAACGTAAGGATTTCTCCTGGTACGAGCTCCCGCAGCTCGGCCGTGTCCATCTCGGATTCCTCGAAGCACTGGGGCTGGGCGACACTGCCTGGGCAATCACGTAACATGAAACCCCATAGCACGGAGTACGAGTCTGAAAACTCGTGGCTAGCCCGACGAAACTTTCTGACCTTGTTGATGGTGAACATACAAGACCGCCACATTCTCCAAGCAGAATGTGAAGTGGAACTTTGAGAACCAAGTACATCTCTGGAAACTTGAATGCTTTGGCAATATGGCATCTACATCTATATGCTGCAACTTCGTATTCCCAAGAGCAATGGCCACGTCCTGGCCAATGTTTTCTTCTGTCAGCTGCTTCACTTTCCCAGTCCCAGACCGAGGAATGCCTCCAAACCAATCGTAGACCATGTTTGCAGCGCTGACCCTTCTGAATATCGCTGATTTGTGTTCTTCCGGAAGTCTCTCGGCCCGCTGCTTCCAGGATAGCACAAGTGCGTCATACTCGTCCCTGTCCCATGGAGCCATGTAGCGAACATAAGTCTGGCGGTGTTTCATAGCTTCTTTCGTGTTATTCACGTCGGGAGATGCGGCAAGGAGAGCCCGCTGTCCGATGACTCGCCCGTAGTTGTACTTCTCGTTGATAAGATGGAAGCTTACACGTCAGCAACGATGGCGTTGAATGGATACTGCTTTATGTCGATGATGCGGACGCATGACTCCCAAATCAGCCACCCCGACTCGAGTATTAAAACCGAGTTGGGCTCATCGATTCCCATCCTTAGGATGAAGTACCAGAGGAAAGCAAACTTTCCCAACCCCCGAGTTGCCATTCAAGAGACGTAGAACGCCTGAGCGGAGTATGGTTACGACCTCCTGAAATAATCAAAGCACTTCCTCAACCTTCTCGATAGCCGCGTCCATGAAACCCGACCGACACTAAGTTTGATGTAATACTAACCAAAAACACCTTACACATTTGTAAGACACTCTTTCTTATTGCAAAAAGCGCACCGAGAGCGAGAGAAAATGAAGCTCTGAGAAATACAGGTGTGGACGTGTATACAGTAGAAGGTGAACAATAATGGAGCCTGTGACTTTTACACCAAAAGTTTTGTACGATTACATCCTCTCTTTTTTGCAACTTCAAATTGTAGATTAGAAGGATCAAGAGTATTACAGTTTCAAATTGTTGATTAGAGGGACCAAGAGTGGTGGTCTGATTCAATGCAATTCGTCGCTGTCAAAACACGTATTCTTACTCTCTAATGCTGCTGTTAACAAAAGCTGCCTTGTAATCCAGACAAGAACGTTATGAACATCCAAGTAGAAGCATCCACCTGGAGGGAAGACGAGGCAAAATGCCCGTGCTGGACCACTCGAGAAACTCGGCCCATCCCTTTCTTCCTGGAAACACATTTGTTTGCTGTGCTCGTTTGGCACAGGCATTGTTCCAGTCCAATTGTACGCCACCCCACGCACTCTCGTGACCTAGAAACATGGCAGTCGCAGAGCCCTCCTCTTGTGGATGGATGGATCCCCTTATCCTTTATTTTGTTCTTTCCATCTTTCTTCTCTCGTTTTTCTATTTTTTTGTCTCAAAGGGTAAGATTCTCCAAGGCCGCGCGCAGGAGGAATGTACAGCGACTTAATCTTGTAGTAAATCCAGCGCAGGATTCACAAGGAATGAATCAAGTGGCGACAATTGCAAACATACCTCACACACACACACACAGAGAGACTGAGAGAGAGCTTTTTGGGGGGAATAAACAAAACCAGCTTCTTTGAGGCTTACAACTCTCGAGGCATCAGCCCACGACGTTGTTGGTTTTTATAAATTTTACTCCCCCAGAGAAGAAGCAAAGATTAAAACCCGAGCTCGTTTGTTTGCGATTTGGAATGCGAACGTACAACAAGACAAGTGCAAGCTTCTTAAGACAAGGACGTGGACAAAAACAACGAATCCTAAAGTTGGTATTTTAGAATAGGAGATTTCCCGCAGCCAAGAAACGTATACTATTCTAAATCTTGCGCTTTTGTCCGTGTACTCTTGCAAGGGGCATCTTTTCCCAAAGCTCACGGGGTGCCATGCAAGTACGCATGGAATCTACAGGGAATAATCACAGCAAAACAACGAGCACAACAAGACACCTTGATTCCGCAGAACATGCTACTAACCTCGCCGTCTTTGGCCTTTTATGCTGCAATTATCAAGACCTTTCACTCAACTTCTTCTACCATCTTTGTTTTCTATAGATTTTTCCTTCTGGACAAACAACACACTATAGACTTTTCTCATGTGACTTTGTCGTGGCTGGAGCCATGGATGATCGGATTGGATCTTTTGGATCCTTGGATCGTTTGCATCGGAGAAGATATTATAGGATTTTACAAAGTTTTGTGCCGCGCAAAAGCTCTCTCTTTCGAGGACGAATCTTGTCAGTTCCTCCTGGGGAGTCCACAGTTTTTTTGCTTCTCTCTTTCATCTTCTTCAAGTGAGAGCAGCAGGCAAGGTTCTCGAGCCGAAAGGACTGAAAATTCTCTTCCTCTCGCTCGATCGATTTTTTAATGCTTTCTCATCTTCTTCTTCTCCTTCTTTTGTCTTTGCTCAATCCCTCACGCCGGTTCGGGTACAAGGAAATTCACACCCTCTCTCGTGCATCGATAGTTCAATGCATGAACCCTCTTTCCACTTTCTTTCCATGCACGCAAGTTTAACGCCACCCCCTGCGCGCGCGAGAGACTGACCGGACGTAAATTGTTTGATAAGATTCTCGCGAATAAAACTGGAGATGATAGAGAGATCGAACCTTTAAATGTGAGATTCCACGCCGGAGATAATTCACACGCCTGTAAGAACAGCGAGCGGCCTTTGATCAGTCGGCTTGAAAACAACTCGTCTCAGCTTCTAAGACAAAACCTTCTTTCGTCTGCCAGGAGGAAGGAGATCTGGCAACTCACTCCTGCGCGCCTGCGCTCCAGGATGATCACGACTCGTCGCCGCATTTATGAAAGTCATATGAAAGCGTTGCTCGCAAATCATCCCCCCTCCATCTCCGCTTTTCCCTGCAATCAATGGAATTAGTAAGCTCATCACGAGCAACACAGCCGAGTCCCGAAAAGCAGCATCATCACGGATGCTTCGCCACGCACATAATTCAACGACAACATTCCCCCATACCTCGAAAACTTTGGCTGCGTGGGAGATGCCGGCACATATTCCACCGCGCGGTGGCAGGAAATAAAAATGCCGGGGGGACCACGCCTGTCCTTCACAAGTCCGCGGACGGTCCGTGACGGGCGCCGCCGGACGCGTTTCCCTCGCACTGGCCACATGAGCCGCCGCAGCTCGCCGCACGCGTCTGGAAGAACGAACTAAGTTAGTGGAAGTTTTTTTTAAAGTCTAGCGTGTGTGTTGGGAGCACCTGTATAGAAGAGTTCTTCTTCTCCTTCTCCTTCTTAGGTACTCCTGTTCCTTCTTCTCCTTCTTCTTCATTCGTTTTCGTGCGTGAGTGTGGCCGCGGAGAAAAGCTTTGGACGATTGCTTCGCGTCTCGCAAATCTTGGCTCGCAGCATCTCCCTTCTTTGTACTGAAGCGTGCTGCGGGGATTCTTTCTGCGAGAGTTAGCTACCGCGCTCGAAGGCAAGACGAACCTGGCAGAGCTCTCGCATGTGTGGCAGAATCAGGCGTTTCTACGGACACCATTCTTCCGCTCGTAATGTGAATCTTTGCGCACTTCGCCATTCACTGCTGCCACTGCTGCAGGGAGTTAGCTAGTTAGAAACTTATATCAGTCTGAAAGGGGGAGAAGAAAAGAAAGTTCACTCACCCGTGGCGTTCTTTGTCCGAATTGATGCGCCTCGAGTTCCTTGGTACTGTCCAAGAAAATCAGCAAGTTCAAGTCCTGGACTCCTCCAATCTAAAGCTGGAGAAGCAGCAGCATCATCATCAGCAGCAGCAGCCGCAGAATTTCCGTCTTCCATCGTTCTGCCTTCGAGCAAGGATGGAACTCTCCTTCGACACAAGCGAAGGCGGACTGCTAGCAGTGGACTCGCACCGCTCGGTGCCAGCTCCCTTCCTCACCAAGACATTCCATCTCGTTGACGATTCCAGCACGGACGACGTCGTCTCCTGGAGCGAAGACGGTACCACGTTCGTCGTCTGGCGACCCCCGGAATTCGCCAAGGATATCTTGCCGAATTACTTCAAGCACAATAACTTCTCCAGTTTCGTCCGGCAGCTCAACACCTACGTGAGTCTCCCATACGTTTTCTTTCCACACCTCCTCCATAGTTCTTTGGAGTTCAGTCCCTTAGTTCTTCGCCAGTTGTCGATCACTTGCAGTACTCAGCTTCAGCATTTTGTCAATGATGTTGCGCACTGAACTTCGTTCTTGTCGACTCGCAGGGATTTCGAAAGATCGTCTCGGACAGATGGGAGTTCGCAAACGAGTACTTCCGCAAGGGACAACAGGACCTCCTCTGCGAAATTCACCGGAGGAAGACCGGGCAGCCGAACACGATGCAACCAATCCGACAAACCAGCACTGCAGAAGATATCCTCTGGTCGCACGTCACCACCACCTCTCCAGTCCCATCCCCACGGGCTCCACACTTCACAGCAGCAGTGTCCATCTGCGACGAGAACGAGCGACTGCGCCGGGACAACTGCATTCTAATGTCGGAGCTCTCCCGCCTCCGAAGGCTCAACGACGAAGTCCTCCTGTTCGTGCAGAACCAAGCTCGGATGCCCCTCCAGCAGGATCTCAGCTGCATCAAGTGGCTCAAGTACAACACCCTCCCACCACTGCTGCCACCGCCACCGGCTTCTCCAAGATTCGAGGAAATTGTCGAGGATCGCAGGCCTGCCACCAGAGTCGCACACAGCAGCCGCCTCTCTTCCATCGTTTCAATGGCTGCCACCAGGCCGACTTCCGCTTCTACGCCTTACGTGAAAGACACTCCACCGAAGGTCCCAACACTGTGCTTGCTGGAGAGCAAGGCCAAGGAGCTCTCGTCCTCTACGACCGATGCTTCTTCCAAAGTCACTTCATCGAGCTCGTCCGATGATTCGCCCAAGCTGTTTGGAGTGCCTCTCAACGGGAAGAAGAGGCCACACTCCCCGAGCAGCGACTCGTCGTCTCAGGCACGGCTAAAGAGCCCGCGGCCGGATATTTCACTCCAGCTCGGCACGGATCCCTGTTGGTTAAAAGTTTGCAAATCTGTCAGTGAGAAAATATTCATCTGACTTCCCAGGTGATAATTACCCAATACCCGTTGATGCAAAAAAGTACGCGACGATTTAGCTGATTGTAACGAAAGTCGTTAGAAGGAAAGAACAAAAAAGAGCAAAGAAAAATCTGCCACAGGCAGCAAATCAATCGCCCAGTCTTGTATGTGATCTACGTGATCATACTTGTTTGCTTGCAGGAGTTTTGGATCTTCTTCTTCTAGATGGTGGTCTTTCACCTACGTTGGGATCACTTCCATCATCTGGATCATGCTTTGCAAACAACTCTGGGGTTGCTTCCATGCACGCTTGCATGGCTAGATAAGGCTCAATGCAGTCTGACCCCTGGACATAAAAATTGACAATGAAAAAAGGCACGAAGACGATGCGATGCATTCTCTCTCGTTTTCTTTTCCATTTCTTTTTCCCTCGCTTGCTTCTGCCATGCACAGCTTTGGATATGAGCATGGAGCTACGTACCTTCTCTTCGGCCGTGCTCTTGAAGTAGCACACGAAAGCCTCGCTAAATTGCTTTCCACAGGGGCCCTCACGGAGATCAGCGACGCAGGGACATTCCAGAGCTTTGCGCGCCATGTCGTCGAGAGACTGGATCAATCAACACGAAGAATGTGAGAATCTCTAGTCACGGCATTTTCGAAAGGCAAGAAAAAAAGCATCACGAACCTCTGGCTCCTTCTCGTTCTCCGGTTGGACAGTAGCTTCTGCGAGAGAAAAAGTTTTAGTCTATAGTTCTTAACTAAAGGAAAAGCCTGTATCTTCTAATGAAAAAAGAGTGACAAGCACGCAAGAACACGAAAGATCACCAGAAACCACTCACCGATCACAAGAAAGCACTCTCGATCCACGAAATATCACACGACAGACAGGAATCACGATCGCGAGAGCAAATACCTTGCGCAACACCTTGATCCGCCTCTTCGTTTCCCTGCTGCTCCATCCCCATCGCTAGGCTCGAGCTCTTAGGGCAATGCTATGGCGGACGATTCAGCAATGGCGATCTATCACGAGCGCCAGCGCCTCCAGCTCTGCCTTCTCCACGCGCTCAACAATCTTCTCCAGGTAAGCAATGCCAAGCAAGAACCCTATAATATTTCTTCTCTTCCCCTCTCTCGCCGCTACTAGGGCCACGATCGATTCACTCGGCAGATCCTCGACGCCATAGCCGATTCTCTGGAGGAGCAGCACGCCACACCCTGGAGCACGCGAAATCTCTTCTTCTTGCCGGCCAAGCAGCACAGAAATCCCTTGACAGGGAACTACGATGCCAATGTCCTCATCGCCGCCTTGTCGAGCCGGGGACTGGAGGCGCGCTGGCACGATCGACGCAGCGCCATCGCCGACGACGATCTATCCCGCCCCAATCTCGCGGGCCTCATCGCCAACACCAGCAGCCAGAGGTTCTTGGGACTGTGGAGGAGCCGCCACTGGATCGCTCTGCGCCGCGTCCACGGATCTTGGTACAACCTCGACAGCGATTTGCCGATGCCAGTGGCAATGCGCGGCGCCGGCGAGGTCAGAGATTTCCTAAACTCCCTACGCGATCAAGGAGCCGAGCTCTTCTTCGTTTTTAGAAAGGAAGAACAAGGGGATGAATAGGAGATTCTAGGCTGTTGCCCAGATCCAAACCGACGCGGCCGATTCGATCGATCATACTTCTTCGCTCCAGCCTTCTTCCGTGAGAATCGCATTGAAGACTCGGTCGATCCTGGTGCCCAGAGGGGGCAAATCCTCGCCATCGCGCTCCGCCTCTTGGATCACTCTCTTTCTCAGAATGGCGAGGCCTTCCTTGATCACCTGGTTTTCTTCTCGGGCCAGCGCGGCACACTGACCGTTCCGGTGATTCGCCAATTCACGCTCCATTGATGAAAGATATCCTGCAAAGAGAACGAGAGGGACGCCCAAACCAAAATATTTGATTGCTGGCCGAAATAACTCTGCCACCATCTCTAACCCTAAAACTTTTAAAACCAAAATTATAGGATTTGGTTAACAAGATTTAGACGTTTAACAACATATATAAGAAAACTGATTTTAAGAAAACAGATTAAGAGCTTGTTGGAGGAGGAGCAAGAGGAGCATGGCAATCCCAGTAAAAACATTGAGTCTTTCCATCATGACCACTAAAGCATCTTCGCCATGCTTCAACAGGATCTAAAAAACAAAAAACCGAAAAGTTATTTGTGGGAAAATTGCTCTGAAAGAGAAAATTATAAGAAACAATCTTACTTCCATCAGGATCTGTCAAAGTGACATGTTCAGGAGCACCAGGAGCTGGAGTCGGAGGAGAATTCTTCCCAAGAACACATCCGGCCAAAACAAAAGCGAAGAAGCAAAGAAAGAAGATAGATTTTGCTGAAGCCATGTTGAACTAGCTGACTTTTTGTGAATAAATCTCAAGCTTCAAACCCCACATATTTATAGTAATACTTTTGTGGCAAAAATAAAACGCTCTAGGATAATGTTTATTTTTAAAATATGTATGGACAATACCACCATGCTTAACTAAAACAATGGTAGTTGTCTTTACAACTCGGTTTTGGGGATGGAAGGTCTCTTTGCAGTGGGGCGCGTGATCTCCTTGGCGGTGTCTCTGTAGTACGTGTTATACAACTCCCTCGAGTAGCGCACGAAGTTGTAGAGGAAATCTACACACGGCAAACTCTACTGTCACGCCAAAGTTTTTCAGAGAAACCATTACCTGGATTTTGCTTCTGGAGGTAGTCGATCTGGATGGGCGAGAAAAGGCTCTGGAGCTGCTCGAAAGGCTCAAACCGCGGCCTCTGCAAGGATTTCTCGGGCTCTCGGTCGACGTGATCCCTGAGCTCTCGATCATCGCTGGGAGCCTCGACTCGATCGGGCAATGCAGTCTTCGCTTGGCAGGAGCCCGTTGTTTTGCTGCATTTCTTTATCCATTCGGAGGTATTCGTCAAATCTGCGTCCACGAAGATTGTCTTAGACGATCACAAAAGTCTGTTCTACTGCCTCATACCTGCGAAAGGCGTCCTAGTTCTCTTCTGTTTCTCTCGTGCTTGCCAGCCACCTGATGGAATAACTTACGTAAGTTCGATATGAAAACCACCAAGCAAGCTATACCTTTGATGTCACACTTGATCTTGAGAGACGCAGCACCGAGAGGAGTGTCGTTGTTACAGAAAACTCTGATCGGGCTGGACACTGTGCTCCCGAGAAGTAGACGCTGGTCGTCATAGGCAGCGAGCAAGAATCGAAAAGTAGAAGCTTCTCCTTTCACCGGGCAGACATGCGTGCTGGCTTCGTCGATCGCCACGTACAAGTTCCTTGGAGATTTTTGCGTGCCAAAGCGCTGGAGTCCGCGAAGAACCGGACCTTTGCAAGGATTTTTGGAGTTCTTGCACTTGGAGCGGGTCACTGGGATCCATTTGTAGCTCTGCTGCTGCGTAGATTTTTCCTGGTAATCCTCGATCGGCGACGAGTAGACGAGGAGAATGAAGAGATCTATCCTGTTCCCTTGGGTGAAACGGACCTGGAATTTCAAGCAGCTCTCTCGAAGCCGATCGTCGACGTCAGCCGGCCCGACTGGGATCTGGACAGCCTCGGAGATTTTCAGCTTCGCGCTCGAGGAAAGCGCGTCTCGGATGATCAGCTTCACGCGATTGTAAGAGCACTTGTGCTTGCCCAGCTTGTACGCCCTGGATGAAAGAAGCGAGGGAGAGGAGAGAGAGAGAGAGAGAGAGAGATCGGTGAGAATTCGTCGAAATGTGGCAAGATTCGCGCAAGAACCGCGAGGCATCGCTCAAGAAAGACGAAATCTCAGCGCCAGGCGCCAAAGACCATACCTTGCTTCCGGCTGCTCCTTGATCGCATGGGGCAAACCGGTCGCCACGCAGCAGCACAGCTCCGCCTCATCGTCCAGAATCCGCGACTCGCATTGGATGAGGGGATCGATTATCGGCGAATTACCGCCATCGCCGGCGCCAAGCTCCCCATCGCCATCGCCAAGCTCCTCCATACTAGTATCCTACATTCTACCCCCATTCAAACCACAGAAGAAACCCTCCGCCCAATGAAACGCTGCCAGCTGCGCAAACCCCCAAAGATCGAGCATTCTTTGATTAACTGTACGACCAAGGGCCACAGTTAACTTCCGGACACTCTAGGGTTAGGGTTCGTCGATGATAGATCGTCGCGATGGCCGAGAGCGTAGAGCCGCGGAGGACGATCGGCGCCAGGGTTTTCCTCAAACTCAACCGCAATGGCCACATCCTGGGCGCGATTTCGGCGGCGCTGGCAGGAATCATGCTGGTGGTGAAGATGAAGAAGGCAGAGGAGCTCCTCAATGAGCACAGGACGGGGCTTTGCGGCCTGTCCGATGGAATGGCGGAGGAGAACCGGCGATTGAAGCAGGGATTGATGAGCCTCCGGCAGCGCGTGCTGGATGAGGTGAGCCGGGATGGCAAGAAGCTGCCGCCATTGCCCACCAGGCTCAAGCAGATTTTTGATTCGGTGCAATGAGCATCGAGAGCTCTGTTCCAGGTGAGGAAAACTCTTCCTTTTTTCCAATGCGGCATTCTTCTCTTCTCTCTTTGTGTTCTTCATCGACAGACTTGGGCTCTCATCGATTAAGTGGCGTTGTGAAGAAGAAATTTTGGAGCAGTGGGCCTGCTTCTCGCAACTGGTGAAATAATTAGATTCTCTTCTCTTTCGTTTTCATTCTGTAACTCCTTGAGCAGGATCATCCAAAACATTTTGCTTCGATAGATCCGCTATGATGCTCAAAACTGGTGGAATGAATAAGTTCCTTTTCTTCGTCTTCGCGTGAGCACGATCGATCGATCTGTGATAGCAAAGTTTGGAGCAGTGAGTAATTCGCAACTGGTAAACGCAGTAGATTTTTAGTTTTACCGCAGCATGATGATCAAGCTGGTCGTTTTCCTCCTCTTCTACTTCGTCGAGATTGAACTACTGTCCAATCGTCCTCTGCGGCCTCGGTTTCGTTCGATTTATCGATGTCCATTGTCTCGGGAATGCTCGCTGGTTCTTTCTCAAGGTTGCTCGTCGATGAGAGCTCTGCGACCTCTTCACTCTCGTCATCGTGGCTTTCCTGCGAGAAAAACGCTGCCACTGTCAAGTTTCTCTGGCGATCGAAAAGCCCAACCTCTGTATCCTTGCAAATCGATTTTTTCTGAGCTCCGGAGCTAGGATTCGCCGACAAAGCCATGCTCTTTACGCGCTCGAAGTTCCCGACACCGCATTCTTCGTTCAAGAACATCACTATTTCCGCTACCTGTGTTCGCACAAAACCATCTAGAGTCGAGCGTTTCCAAAATTTACGACCGACCATTTACCTCTTCGTGACTTCCATCTTCCAGATCCGTGTTAAACGATTCACTCATTGCGTCCTCGAGCAATGCTTCCAGATCGTCGATATAGAGCGTTCCTGGGAATTTGCCCGAATTTGAGAATTTGAGACGAATTTGAGAGGATTTCCTCGTACCTTTGGTCTGAGTGAGGAAGGAAACTACATCCTCGACCAGCTGCTGCGATTTCTGGACAGAATTGCGGCCGCCCCACTCATTCTCCACGGCCAGCTGCAGCGCCGTCCACCGCGAGAAGCACAGCCGGATCCCTTCGGCCAGCATTCCAAGGCGCTCGTCGTTCCATCGCGCCATTCTTGCAAGAACCCTAAACCCAGAATTAGAACCCTAGCTGCTCCGTGTTCTAGGGCAAGGAGGAGCTAGGGTTTTCGGAGCGGCAAGAGGTATGTCGGTGGATTCTTGGCGAGCGAGCGCTTCTTGTCTGGATCTTTAGCTTCCTCTCCACTCTTGCAGATGGCCGATGCGTCCAACAAGAAACGCGGCGCGCTTCGGCAGATTACCAAGGACGATCGGGCAGACGAGGACGAGGAGGATGCCTCTCCATCGGAGCAAGGGACATTCGCGAGGGCCAGCGACGAGGTACTCGCGACGAGGAAGATTGTCAAGGTCCGGCGGAGTTCTTCCACGGCAGCGGCGCCATCGGGGCCGAATTTGTTCGCAAACATCCAGCTCGTAGCTCCCGGCACCGCTCCTCCGTTGGTTTCTTCCACTCCAGCTCCAGCTCCGGTGATGGATTCGTCAGTGAAAGATCCGGGCGAGAATGCGAAGGATGGAGGAAAGAATGCGAATGGAAACGGCAACGCCAAGGAAGAGGAAGAGAAGCAAGCAAAGGAAGAGGTGGCTCCAAACGAGAATGGGGAGAAGGAGGGTGGCAATCCAGGGAAAGCTCCAGTGGCAGCGGCGCTACCAAAATCCTTCGATCAAGTCTCCTCCAGCGCCAACGCATTTGGATCTTTCGGCACGGCCTTCTCCACCTCGAGTTTCTCCTTCTCGACGACTGGATCATCGTTTAGCTTCGGGAGCTCGCCGGCAATGGGTTTTGGTTTTTTTGGCTCCTCCACCACCACCACCACCGCGACGCCAGCCGAGGGAGGGAAGTTCCCACTCTTTGGACAGGCGCCGCCGAGCAGCGGCGACACGGCGGCGCCGCCATCGAGCAGCAGCGGCGGTGGAGGTGGCGGCGGCGGACACCCGACGGTGTCGCTTCAGGAGGTTCCGGTCGAGACGGGGGAGGAGAACGAAAAGGCGGCGTTCTCCGGCGATGGGATCCTGTACGAGTTCGTGGACAAGAGCTGGAAGGAGCGGGGTAAAGGCGAGCTCAAGCTCAACTTGTCCGAGGATTTGAAGAAGGCCCGGCTGGTGATGCGATCCAGGGGGAACTTGAAGCTGCTGCTCAACGCCAGCCTCTTCCCGGACATGAGGATGAGCAAGATGGACGGGCGGAGCGTCACGTTTGCGTGTGTTAACAGCGCCGCCGCCGCCGCCAGCGCCGCCAAGGATGGCAAGGCTGTGCTTACCACGTACGCCGTGAAGCTGCGAGACGCGGCCGGGATTCCAGAGTTCCTGGGGCTGGTTGAGGCGCACAAGGGGATCAAGCCGGTGGCGGAGGCGGCGGAGGAAGCGGAGGAGGTGGCGGCGGTGGAACAAAAGGCTGATGATCAAAGTGGCAGCGAAGATGCTCAACGAAACAGTGGCGAGGAACAAGCGCCAAAAGAAGAACAGGTGTGAGCGAGCGATCTTTCTACATTTTGTTGTGTGCTTGCGATCGATCGATCAACTTCAAAACATTGATATTTGATTGAAATACTAATCGGAAGAACAAAGTGATAGCCACCATGTCGACCATGTCCGCCACCACGTTACTATCGTTACCATCGGTGATACCGGCGTTGGTAGTGGCGCTGGCCCTGGAACTGGAACGTGACCCTGCGCATCGTCAAGGTGGACGTGATTATACCACATGTGAATTGGCGTCATAGCTGTCTGTCTAGGGTTTGTGAGCATACGGTAGAATATACTACAAGAAGAATATGCTTTTAAAGATTCGATTTACTCTAGAAGGAGAATATTCTAGCTCTTGCACTTGCGCTAGGGCTAGGGTTTGCTTCCGGCTATGGCGAAGAGGCGACCGAGCATTTCCAGCAGCAGCGGCAGCAGCAGCGACGACTCCGAATCCGAATCCGACCACCGCTCCAGGCGGCGCCACCGCCGACGCAACGAGCACGAGAAATCGAGGTCAGTCTCGCGTCACAAAACCTCCACTAGCAGCAGGGACAGGAAATCCAAGTCCAGCAGCAGCAGCAGCAAGCACAGCAAGAAGAAGAAGCGCCGCCGCCGCGCGAGATCGCCGTCGCCCTCCTCCTCTTCCTCTCCGTCGTCCTCCCCCTCGTCGGAGCTCAACGATGGCGCGCCATCGGACGACGCGCGCGGCGGGGATGAAGCGGGGGAAGAACAGGACTCCGCCAAGCAGATGCTCGAGATTGACGAGGAGGCGATCAAGTTCCGGGGGCTGCTCGAGGCCCAGAAGAAGGCCGCGATGGGATCTCTGGAGAGCGAGCCCATGGTCGGCCCGGCTCCGGCGCCCAAGACCGAGCGGCACATAAGCTACGGAGGAGCGCTGCGGCCGGGAGAGGGAGACGCCATCGCCCAGTACGTCCAGCAGGGGAAGCGAATCCCTCGCAGAGGAGAGGTGGGTCTCTCGGCGGACGAGATCCAGAAGTTTGAGTCGCTGGGCTACGTGATGAGCGGCAGCCGGCACCAGCGCATGAACGCGATTCGAATCCGGAAGGAGAACCAGGTGTACAGCGCCGAGGACAAGCGAGCGCTGGCCATGTTTAACTACGAGGAGAAGGCCAAGCGCGAGAGGAAGGTCATGTCGGATCTCCAGCGGCTCGTCCAGCGGCATATCGGTGCCGACGTTGGCCCGACTCACGATCCATTCGGCAAAGGTACCGGGGCAGAAGTAGACGAAGGATAGAGTCCGTGTGTATTTAGCAGCAAGAACTCTCAAGAACAAGAACAATTAAAACAGGAACTCTCAAGAACAAGAACAATTAAGGCAGGGATAAAGAGTGGGCTCTGATCATCACACCAAGTGTATTAATCCTTTATCATCATGTGGAAGAAAATCTACGAATTACTCGAAGAACTAGAAGCTATAACTGTTCGAGATTATGTATATAAGCTTTATTTTCAGTTTTCTTAGGTTTAAAATGTTCTTAGAGAATAAACTTTTATCCATTTCTGGCCGTCCGATTCCAACGGTCAAATTTAAATCCTGGCCGTCCGTTCTTGGATGTTTTTCCCACGACATCTGCTTTTGCTTGACGAACACTGTGCGATTGGATCGGCTAGACTTCAGGTGCGAGCTGGCTCTCTGGATCCATTGCGTAGTTTTTCTAGAACTTAAGTTGATCACACAGATTTGTTTTGATACAGTGAGGATGGAACGCTCTTGGCTGCCACTACAAACGGTGGCAAAACCTTTGTGTGGGGGCTCGATGGAGGCCATTGTTTGCGCATTCACTCTTCAGGCGATGTTCATGGCCGCAGCTCCATCTAGCGTCAAGCAAAGCTGACGAAACAGTTTCTTTCACTCTCGTGGCTTCCAGGCCATAACCAGAGCGAAGACTAGAATCGCACGCATCCTTTCTCAGCCTCTGGCATAAAGCTACTGGAATTGTAACTATTGCTTCCTTTGCTTCTCACACAAGGTAATAACTCATCTCGGGTGCTGTCCAATTAGCCAGTGATAGTGTTACTTCTAGTCTTGGCAACGTTTTTTGTTTCCCACCAAGCCTCGAAGAAAACAAATAACTGTTTTTCTGAATCAGCAAAGTTTAAATGCTACAAACACTTATATGATCTTCCTTCCTAGCTTGCACTTACACCATCAATTGGTGTAGAAAGTTGTGTATGACCCGAGCAACCTCTGTTTTGTAAGATATCTCCGCTCACTTCTTGCCTTGATGACGTTAGAGCCACCTTCTCTCCAGCCGATGAAAATCTGCCACCGAAGTTCTATCACTCCCGACGGGGATCATCACGGAGTGTTAAGCCACCGCCTTCAAGTTTTGATCCAAGTACCTAGCCATGCCTGCGACAACTTGATCCCGTCCACTGCACATCCTGATGCATTTGCATCGAAAGCTGGAACTCAGTGAGGCAGGAGCTCTCTCTTCCTCCTCCCCCACCTCCTCCTGATCACCGAGAGGACGTAGAGGAAGAAGAGGAAGAGCAGCGCAAACAGCAGCCCGGCAAGGATTGGAAGAAGCAGCGGGGTTGCCGCCACAGCCGTCGCTTGCAAGTTGAGATCATTGGAGGAAGCCAGCTGAAGATACGCATTGCTGCTGCTGCCGCCACCTTCGCCTTCGAGCAGCGAGTTCAGAAAGGCATCACTGCTGCTAATGCCTTCTCCTTCAAATAACTCGATGAAATCACTGGCACTGGCACTGCTGCTGCTCACCCCGACGTCATACACTAAACTCTGAGAGCTCGATATCGGAGTCTCTTCAGCTTCTTGAAACGTTTCAGTGTTGATCCTCTTGGCCTTCCCACCATCCTCGCCCAAGCTTCGAGGGAACCACCGCCACATAAAAGATGGTGGCGATGCTGGTGGTGGTGAAGCATTGCTGCTAGCCTCCTTAGTGTCACCAGTGCCGCCAGCCAGTAACTTCTGAGATGGAAATCCTGTCGCTGCATGGGACTTTAGCACCTGTTAAGTGTCCATCTTAGTACGAATATATCTGGTTCCTGTCAGCAGAGGCATACCTTGTAGGATGACTCCTCGGCCATTGCTGCTGCAAGTTCTTCACTATTCTTGTATGGAAGCCTCCTGTGCAATCCCACACCATCACCTCGCAAGCTCCGCCAAAAGACTGAAGCGGGTGTCGATGAAACATCAGCTTGCCTCAACAACTTTCGAGATCCTGCTGCTGCATGAGACTTTAGCACCTGTTCAGTGTAGATCTTAGTACAAATACATATCTGCTTCCTGTCAACAGAGACATACCTTGTGGGATGACTCCTCGGCCATTGCTGCCACAAGCTCTTGTCCTTCACTATTCTTGTCTGGAGGCCTCCTGTGCTTTCTCACGCTGCTGGTGCCATCGCCTCTCAACCTCTGCCAAAAGACTGAAGCTTGTTCTCCATCTTGTTGTGGTCGCAGTGGAGCTATGAAGCGGAACAGAGAAGGTCCATTCTCGTTGGAGACGAAGATAGGAGGACCTGGCGCTGCTTCCAGAAGCATCCGTCGGGAACTGATAACTGGGAATCGATGCCACCCCAGGAAGTTTTTGAGTTCTTCCCATAATTCCTGGGACGTCACCTCGTCCTCCTCCAAGCCCGCGTTCAAAAGCCTACTCCACATTTCTTCTTTTATCGACTGAAGAGTGGTCGGTAGCTTCCAAGTCCACTCTCCAACTAGCTTCTTAAGTTCCTCCACCTCCGGATGCATTTCGGCTCTGGACGGTAGCTGCACCGACGGGAATGTCCAGGTCCGAAAGTAGCTCTGGATATCCTCCCAGCTCAGGTTGTCGTCGTCGTCGTCAATCGCAAGCGTCTTGCCACCAAGAGAAGTATACCGAACTGAATCCACAGCGCCAACCATGACCGCCTTTAGCTGCAAGAGAAGGTTGGTGCGGATCCAAGCAAACCATCTAAGCTCTCGAGTTACCTCTTGCGAATCATGGTTGTCATCCTCGAGTACAGGTAATGGTGGTGGATCATACTCGGGAACACTTGACGCTGTCGCGTGACTGCTGGCGATAACTGCCTCGAGCTGCGAGGGTGGTGCTGGCGAGGACGAATCCTCCAGCTCGATTGGAGTAACGGGCTGCAAGAGAAGATTAGCTACATCTGGAGTTACCTCTTGCAAGTCATGCTCGTCATCCTCTTCGAGTACAGGTGCACCATACTCGGGAACACTTGATGCTGGGTCACTGCTGGCGATCACTGCCTCGAGCTGCGCTGGGAAATCCTCCGCTTTCTTGTTCGCTGTTGCGGCAGGAGTCTGCCCGCACGCGAAAAATGTCAAGGAACAAGAAAAAATGACAGAAACGAGCGAGCTGTACACACCTCAAGGAGGAGGGCCTTCAACCCTGTTGCCTGTGTGCTTGCCTGCGTGCTTGCCTGTGCTGGAGCGCGTCGCAACCAGGAGAACGCTAATGCTAGAGCTTCCATCGCCGCCAATATAATAGGGCAGGGTTACTATGTAAAATATCTATTTAGAAGATCGTGAGAGACGAGGAATATTATCGAAGGAATATATGTAAAGAGATTTGCTGGATCTCAAGCAAGTCGCGAATCTGAGGATCATCAGCGGCCTTCTTTCAACCGCATCCCGCGTTTTGTACTGCTTCTGGAAGTGAACCACCCATCCTTCTGATTTATATCTAAGTTATGAAACCATTTCAACTCGCATCCTCTCAAACGTACCTCACCCTTTAAAAGACATTGCGCAGCGCAGACCGTTCAGCTGTGAGTCTTTGTATCCCCACTTACCCCGTTAGATCAGATTAAGAATATCACTTTTGAAGAGTGAGGGAGCATTGGAAACCCGTGTTGCGATTGTTGTACACAGTAACTCCAGATAGCCTGCAATAAAGAGAAACACGAAATACTTGACTATAGAAACTTCAATGTGGTGTGGCTGGTGGAAAACCTAGAACAAGTTAACTGGCAGCATCCTCTCAAATTCCTCTGCACGATGGAGGGTGTGTACTTGGGAAATGGAGGGAGCTACGAAGATTCCTTGCCTTTCCACGCACGAGACCTTGGTAGACGTCGCCATTTGCATAGTAAAACGTATTGCTTTCGCCTTGGACCCAATTTCCGTCGTAGAAGATCGTCCATCGACCTTGAAAACGTAGAATCACGACGAGAAGGATTTACGATCGTTACTTCATTCATTTCTAGTTGTTCTCCTCCAGACCGTCCTTTATACGAACCACCTTGAAAGCACATCTCCACCGATGGAGGAGTTCGCCCGTTTTCCTGATGAAACTAATGACAAATATATGTAAGAACAAACCAAATGGAAACTTTGGCAGCTCGTTGCGACAGAGATTGCTCTGGCCTGTTGCGATTTCTGTCTTGGGTCAACTCGACCCCGTCGATTCCCATCCTTAGAACGCCGGGCAGTCACGGGGGTGCATTTCATCCTTTTGTCTCTCTTGCTCGCAACAATTGGTTTTGGGACGTATACACCAGAAACCAGATGGGAATCATGTTGAGGGCTACCTGCGATTCGCTGCGCCCGATAGCCCAAGGATCTGAGCAGAACCGAATGATAGCAAATGAATGAAGTAGAGAAACGTATCTTACCATTTCTGGTATCGAGAATTCAATAGTTCCATCACCTATAAAAGACGATGGCAATTGTCATAAACGGGAAGCAATGTCGTAACTTACAGTTATCAGTCTCTTGTTAGTAATGTCTCGTCAACCTCACATAACTTGCAAAAGGACAAGTCATCTTACCGAGAAGCAAGTCATCAGCAGCTTTAAGAGTGGAAGAGCAAACAAGACCGAAACAGTAAAACTGACAGCTTATTAAGAAAGACTTACTTTCGCTAGATGGTTTCGTGGCAATACAAACCAGCTAAGCGTATGCAAAAGCCTCCTACCAAGCACTGATATATAAAGGACTTTGCTTCTAATATTGTGTCTTCGACACTTCTAAATATTTGAGACTTAGAAAAGTTTGCACCTCAAGACCACCACCAGTGTGCACAGCCCTGAGTTTGGCACATACTGCGTCCAAGCCTTGACACAAAGAACAGAAAACATGCCCTTCAAATGGAAAATTACTCGTACAAACATACCAACACAATGTCAGTTCATGGATTTTCAATAAGTGGCCCTGCCATTTAGCAAAGAAATGTTCTGTAAAGGAGAAATAATTTGTTCTGGTTCTAAACTGTCACAACTCGCGAGCTCCACAATGTCGCCCGCGACGCCGATTCTAGCTTGGGATTTTTCTCCTTTTCTTGTCTAGAATCAACCACTCTTCTCTCTAAATACCTTCAAAACAACATCAAGAACTCCCTCTCTAACAACCTGTCACACTTTCACGTCGAGGGCGGCTCTCAAGGACGTGTTGCAGCTGGCCGTGGATGGAGCTGGCAGAACAAGCGAGCAGGGTCTTGACGGGGCTTGACACTTTGTCATCTGCGCGGGCAGAGAAGCCCAGCTAGCCCGTTTCAGCTCCCTCAGCCATGCGACGCAAGATTAAACTCACGGCAAGACAAGGCCCTCTCAGCACACTCTCCTCCTAGCTCCTCGTATTTGAGCATTTCAGCTTCTCAGCCAGCCGCCACAAGACAACAGCTTCTTCGGTCACATCTCAATATCAAGACACAAGCTACACTGCTCATCGACAACAAGATCTAGACCATGGACCAGCTCAAGAAGTTCTGCTGCAAGTATGGTAACCTCTGCAGTATGGCAAAACAGGAGAAGAGCATTCCTCAAGGATCTCAAGCACTGAGAGAAGGCAGCAGGCCCTACCAAATATGCCAAACTAACTTCAGCGTCCTTCAAGGATCAAGTCCAAGTAGCTCAACTGTTGGACTTCGCCCCAGTTCCAATTGCGGAGTCAGCCAGCAACACCTTGGATGCCGAGAACTTGGCGTTACCATGATGTGGGCAATGGGAACTGAGTCAAGACCCAAGGCCACCTAAGCAAGACAATTTCCCCTCCCAAGCAAAGGAAGAAGTCAGAATTACATCAAGAGCCAAAGCATGACGAATGCTCAAGCAAAGAAAGAAGCTGTCACAGATAGACAAGCAAGAAAGCCACGTGGTCGAACCACTCGACCTCTCAAAGCCGAGCGTCGTCCGCAGCCCAGCCCCAAGACATCCCGTTAAGCACAATCCACCGTAGTCAATGGTCTTAAGCTTCTAAACAAAGGCCTAGTCAATATGGAAAGCAATGTTGCATCGAGAGAGAGCACAAATCGCCAATTCCAAACCAAGATATACTCCTCGCATCTTGTGCAGCTTGGGAAGCAGGTTGCAACTGACAAGGTCAAGTGCTCATCAGCCAAGATCACTATTACAATCAAGCAAGACACCAAGCAAAGAGCATGGCACCAAGCTCTTCAGAAGTTGTAAACTTCACCTTGCTCTTGATCTTCCTAGCTTTTCTTAATTCAATGCTCTTGGCCTCTCTTTGTTCCATAGCTTCTCTTGGCAATAATCTTGGCTGGATCTTGGCTAATTATTTGGCTTGAATGCTGAGTTGCTATGTTCTCTCTCTCCATCACTCCTTGTTTCTTCTTGCTCAGCTTGAAGATTGTATTAAGCATGGAGGGTGGAGCATCATCAGCAAAGCTCACAAACCCTTACATTATGCATCCATCAGTCTTATGCTTACCGCAAGACTATCAAAACAGCATATAGATAGATAAATAGATAGAGTAAACATACTGCGCATGGATCACGTTCAGTGGTTTCGGTTTGCATGCAAGTTTAGGATTGCTCGCTCGGCTTGCAGCGTGCCGCGACAACAATGCTCACATGGAGCCCAGAGCTGGAGAGCCCAAGGTGTGTTTGTGCAAATTGTGTTTCTCAAGAGGATTTGGATTTTTTCTCACAAGCCTTTGGGCCTTGGTCAAAATTCAATCAGACAATTCGGGATGCTTGGTGCGGAGGCTAGACCTTCGATTGCGTCGCGTGTGGGATCAAGCCTGCAACGCCGCAGAGGTCGACATGTTCATCACCAGAGTCGAGGTGATCGATGACTGTTATGATCCCTAACCCCTCTACACTGTAGAGGGCCCCTATGGTGGCATCACTTACGCCGACCTCCGCTCTGGTGTGGATAGCTTGGATGAGAGAACGCACCAAGATCTCGTGAAAGCAGTACGCGCTAAAGTCAAGCGGGACGTCAAGCGGCAGATGCAAATGCCCAAGTTTAGCAATTCGCTGGCGGAGCTCATCCGGAGATCATCGTGGAAACCCAAGTTCACACCGTCCAATGTGATTTTCAAATCCACTCAAGGTGCTAGAGAGTTTAAGGAGCGAATGGCATGCTGGGCGGAGCAGGATTTGTTCAGATGCGCAAGCGACATTGATAGGACGAGGGAAGTGATGCTGCGGTTTGAAACCCGGGTGGTTGAGGAGCTCGAGGACGACATGCTGTGCAGCAAGCTGCTGCAGGAGAGGCCAGGGGAAATGAATTTCTCGGCGAACAGCTGCTACGAGCCCGACGTGTATAACCAGCTGGCGGAGTGGATCGAGGGTGCAAAGGAGTACCATCGCGAGATTGAGATTAAAGATTACAAGGTTTGGGAACCGGATTGCTGCGTGAATCTCTTCAGGTTTGAGGTGGCGTACATTGAGCAGCTGCTGCGGGATTACAAGGCGCAGGAGGGAGCAGCGCAGGAGATCGTGGCGAGGAGGTGTGAGCCCACTGATTTTGAGATGTTTAGACGCATGAGGAGTACCAGTTATATGCTGATGGACTTGCTCTTATCATCATCGGAAAGAGATGATCGGTGATTCATGATACAGAGATTTATAAGATGTTGAGCGCATTTTTGGTCAAGAGCAGTTTCGAACACACGAAGCTAGAAGCTATAAAATTTCTGGCCTGGAGGTAAAGAAGCACACAAGTAGTGTGTTCCTCCATGCTTGGGAGGGACTGTATAAGTGCTTGTTGCTAGATGACTTGAGCTTGGATTGTGACCTCAAGAATTCATTGCTAATGTGGTGCATGATCACTATGCCTGGGCCGTCGTAAGCAATGACCAATCTCCATTTGAGAAATGTGTCTTGCTGATCCTCTTTCTGGATTTTGCAATTGGAGCAAGAGAAGACACTATACCTGCTGCAGATCATGGCTCAATGGAGCTGGAGCCCGCATTGGAGTCCCATCTCACGAAGCTCTACAAAGATGCCCCAGTTTCTTCCAGGCGATCATCCAAGATCATTTGTGGATCAAATCACAGGTAACTTCAAACACTCATGAGTTCTTATGGTAGATTTGTTTTTTTCTTTGCGGAGAGTCCGATGCAGCTTGCTTTTGATCATGTTTTCTGAGAGCCAGCGGCACCGAAGGGACGGAGGAAGCGCCCCCTGGCACAGTAAACGTAGCGTTGCTCAAGCCAACAAAGTGGTATAAACTCATGGAATGGAGTAATGGGAGTGGAAGCAGCTCTTGGTCGAGGAAGATGGAG